ATTATTATTGCATAAATATTTTTATTTTATGAATAATGTAATAATACTACTCGTGTGGGTGTGTTTATTTTTTTTTTTTTCGTTTATATAGTTTTTTAATAGTATATCATAAAACTTTATGCATAATAAAAAAAATAATTTATGTGAAGATACTATTGTGTGGGTGTGTTAATGTGGTGGTGTGTTTAATTAAAATATTTTGCTTTTGGGTATGCGTTTGAATGTGTGGTAAATTTTCTATATGTGTAAACCCCAATTAAACACACATCAAGTACACACATAATAAGTTAATAAAAAAAAAAATATAGAAAAAGAAGATATATAAAATGCATTTGATATATTTTATTTTATAACTATTTTTTATAAAATATATATATGTATAAATGTAATTATTATGTGTGTGTGTTTAATAATAAATACACATAAATTATCACTTGTGGCATGTGCATTCGGATATTATAAGTGTTTTGTGTGTGTGAAAAATGAATATTATTTTGTGGGTGAGTGTGCTTTATTTTGTTATTGTCAGTTTTATTAGGGAAATTTTTTTAAGCTATAAAAATAAAATATTTTTATTACTGATTATGATGTAAAAATCGATGGCTAATATATGTACATACTTTATTTTTTAAAAAAAATTTTAAATAATGGGCTTAATTATTTGATAATCTAAATTTATAAAATTTTTAAATATGTAAAATAATTAGAATTAATTAAAAGTTAAATAGAATAGAATGGAATGTAATTATTGTGTATAAACTGTTTATATAAAATATTTTTATGTATGTGGTGTTGTTATTATTATATTATAAACTCTAAATATATATTAATTATTTTATTATTGTCATTAAATATGATTTTTTTGTGTGAATATTTGTGATATTGGATGCATTATTTGGTCTTTATATTTTTTTAAAAAAAAAAAAGTAACCAAAAAAGGTTAAAGTGAAAGAAAAATGATATCATATGATATTATATAATTATATACATCTATAATTTATTATTCTTATTATTATTATTATTATGTGTGCAATTTATTTAAGTATTTATATCTAGCATATCAACACTTAGAGATTTTAAAATCTATAACGAATGCACGTTTTATAAATTTAACTGTGAATAAAATATATCATTAATGATATATTATATAATATTCAAATTATTATTATTATTTAAATAGACTATCTTAGTTTGATTTTAAATATTCACCAGTAAAAATTAAATAAAAGCGCATTCATATGACTTTAAAAAATTTAAAAAAAAAAAAAAAAAGCATACAAACACAAAGAAACAAAAAAAAAGCAAACATACAGACAAATAAAAAACCAAGCAAACAAACAACTGTGATAGTGGTTTTGGTACAAAAAGTAGTTTATTATTAGATCTTTTTTTTTTTAAATATTACTTTACTATCTATTTTATGAACTATAATATAAATAAATTTTTAATATTTTGTGGTTACAAAAAGAAAATAAAAGTTGTAAAGTTTATTGAAAATAAAAATAAAATAACAAATATGTTGATGTTGAATAAATTAATTTTGTGTTTGTTTTTTTTTTTAAAAAAAATTTAAAAAAAAAAAAAAAACAAAAATTAATTTTGATATAAATAATTAAATAAAATTAAAATTATATATTTAGTATGTGAAAAAATACGATAAATCATATATAAAAGAAGAATAAATACATTTTGATGTTTCAATAGTAGGTGTCAAAGTATTTGAGATATATATAAAAGTGTGGAAATAATTTGTTTTTTTTTTTTTGGGCCAACAAAACAACAACAATACACACACATAACACACAACACAAAAAAACATTATCACTTTAAAAAAAAAAAAATGAATAATTAATTTAACAAGAATATAGTTTTTTTAAAAGAAAAAAAAAAAAAATTATAATTTTGTATATGGAGTAAAAGCAAGTAGGGGTAGTACTTTTTATCAAAAAATTTTTGTATACGGGGTGGGTTCTCGAATACACACACATACAACAAAGAGAGAAAACAACCCACAAATGCCCACATGCAACCACATAATCACACACAAGAATAATAACAACAACAACCCACAAACACATACACACGCGGCACACAATTTTAGATTCAAATAACAATTTTAAAAAAATGAAAAAAAAAACATTTATTTTTTCACGCCTTTTGAAAAAATAAATCTATAAAAACCATTTCCATTTTTGTTAAAAATCGTCAATAAACTATGTGTTTACAAAGAAATATATATTTTAAAAAAAAAAAAAATAAAAATAAAAAAATAAAAATAAAAAAAGCAACCACACAACACAGCTACTCCCCACTACTACTTTATAAATAAATAAATAATAATTAAACAAATACTTTGCAATACAAAGTTATTTAATAAATTCCATTTAATTTAACTACAACTTACAATTTTTACAAATAAAAAAAAATAAAAAAAATATATCTTAAAAAAATTACTGTTTCACTACTACAGTTCCAAATAGCCTAAATTAACCACCACTACACATTATATTATATTCAATTTTAATTAAATTAAATTAAATTGAATATTGTTGAGTGAGTTTAGCCATTTTTATAATAATTATTTTTTTTTAATAACAATAATAAAAACAATACAATTACATTATTAATTTTATAATATTATTATTAATTTATATAACATGGAACACCACAAAATATGCGTGTACATTATAATCTCCCGACAAGTTAAATTATTAAAATAATATTAAAAGCTATATTTAATGTATATATAAAGGAAGTGGTGAGGTATCATAAATTTAAACACAAGATGAAAAATACATACACACAACTAGTTATTATTAGAAATAGGAATTTTTAAAATAAAGAAATCCTTTAATATGAGTTATATATCATAAAACTAATTTATGAAAATTCAGTTTGGAAAGCTATAAATAAGACTGTGGGATGTGATGTTTTTTTTTTTAATTTTTTTTTTTTTTTGTGGGGGTTAGTGTGATGTGATTAAGTTTAATTTAATTTTAATATATATAATATTAATCTGTTTTTTTTTTTTTATAAAAGTGGTTATAAATTGGTTATTTTTGTGATTAAAAAAAATAATTTTAAAATAATTGAATATGTTTAATAACCAAGGGACACTTTGGTGAAAAATGATTTCCACAATCCACGCGCGCCTAATTATAATAGGAATTAACATAACAAAATGTGAAAATTACTAAATTCATTAAACACTAAATGCAAAAATATATACATTAAAGTTTTATTATTTTTGGATATTGTGTGAGTGGAGTAGAAATTTTGTGTTATTGGAATGTTATGTGGGCGTGTGTGTGATAGTTGATAGTGTGTGCGTAAGAATGGTAAAAAGAAGAAAAAAAATAAAGATATAATAATAATAGGGTATTGTTTTTTTTTTAAAATAAAATATTGTATATTTATATTTTTTTATATATATGAAAATCGGGTATTTTGTAATTTGTCTATTCGAATGGTGCTATTATAATTATTATTATAAAAAAAAAAAAAACTGATACAATTGATTGGTTTAAAAAAAAAATTATAAATAAAAAATAATAAAAAAAATAGAAATTAAAAAAACAATAATTACCCAACCTATACATATAAATACATCTTTTATTATTATTATTATTATTATTACTATTATTTGTTATTGTAACTGTTTATTTTAATATTTACCTTACACTTTGTTATTGTGATTATATTTTTACAGTGTGCTTTAATAAAGTAACATACAACTTACTAAATAATATACAAAAGATGAAACTGTTATTTATTAAAAAGGAAAAAGGTTAATACTCTATTGGAACAATTCTATTTATAGTGCGTATATGTAAAGATAAACAATGATAAAAAAAATTATAATATTAAATAAAAAGTTTTATTGTTTATTTAGTATATAATATAAAAAAATATATATTAATATTATTATTTTTTTAGATTTTAAAATGAACAAATAATAAAACCTCTTTTTCTCTAATTTTTTATTTTGGTTTCATTCATATTTTTTAGTTTTTTAAAAAAAAAAAAAGCCCTATTGTGAGAAATATTGTGTGAAATGTGGTGGTGCCTCTAAATTATTTGAAGGTTCTTTTTTTTGAAATTAAAAAAAAAAAAAAAAAAAAAAAAAAGTATTTTGGAGGAATGATAATCTGTGATGATGGGTAGCCACTACCTTTTTTTAATATAACTGACCATTATTAAAATTATCAGCAAACCCAGTATAAAAATAAAATTAAATTCAAACCACCATTACGCTCTGCAAAGCAATGTTTGCTTTCATTTTTAGATCTTTCTCTTTTGGAAAACGCGTATTGTGAGCATTTTAAAAGAAAAAAAAAAATGTTTTAAAAAAAAAATATAAAAAAAAAAAAAAATAAATTTATAAAAAAAAAATTGAAAAAAATTGAAAAAAAACCATTGTTTGAGTGATTAGCTTTTTTATAATTTAGGTGAAATTAACCAAAATATAACAATTATACAAATAAAAAAAAAAATAACCAATGATTCCTTATTTGTAACAAGTATGATAAAAATCTGATAAAGTTACGCTTTGGATCATCCTCTATCACAAATTTGAAAAAAAAAATAAAAAAAAAAATTTTGATTTGTGTTTTATTGGGGCACAGAAAATATAATGATATTTGATTTTGATATAAAATTTTGTCATTCCCCATTTTTAAAAACAATAAAATATAATCCACCATAAAATTTATGTAAAAAAAAAAAAAGATATTGTTGGATTGGTGTGGTGTAAATATTGTATCGGGGGTGTATACCAAACAAATGCCCAAACTTATGAATACTGGATAGATGGTGAAACCCAAATCTTACTTTTTAGAAATATTTTTATGAGTATTATTATTATTATTATTATTATTATTATTATTATTATTATTATTATTATTATTATTATTATTATTATTATTATTTAATAATTGTTTTTTTTTTTTTTTATACCAATGGAAATATGGTATGTTTTTGATGTATAAATATTGGGATTTTCTTTCTTTAAATTGAAGGAAGCTTTTGATTACCAAAGGAGAAAAATAAATAAAAAAAAAATAAAAAATAAAAAATTGAAAATAAAATAATCTAAATTAAGAACTTTTTTTTTTTTTGACGCTAAAAATGAAACTTGGTAAAACGCTAAATTAATCCATTGTTCTTAGTATGGAATGCTTTTTTTGTGGGTTTATTTAATTTATTATAATCCCAATGAGCAAAAAAAAAATACAAAAAACGAAAATAACAAAAAAGCCATCTATAAAAACCCCAATAGAAATAAACAAAACTATCGATTTTAAACTATACACACACTTACAGCTTGATTTATTTTTAGATTTAAGTAATTTATATGATAATTAAAAAAATAAAAATAAAAAATTAAAAATAAAAAAAACAAATAAAAATAAATCTCATATTAATTAATTTACGCCATACCTTTCTTTTTTATTTTTCTTTTCAAAAATACAAATAATGATATTATATAAAGATATTATAACAATAGTATAAGCTGAATGAAAGTACAAAAAAAAAAAATGAAAAAAAAAAAAAAAAAAAAAAAAAGATTGTGGTTTGATTTTTTTAATTTAAATTAAAATCATCATCAAAACAAGGGGGGGTTTGACGAAATTAATAAATTATTATAAACAACATAGAAAAAAAAATTGGTATATGTTTTTTTATTGAAAAAAAAAAAAAAAAAATCTTTCCCCATACCACCCAATACAAAAAAAAAAAAAAAAAAAAAAAAATATTTAAAATATATTGCATCCATTTTTAAAATAATTTTTTTTTTGGTTTATATTGTTGATTGTTGCCCAATAATTTTTTTAATTAATTAATAATTCATTCACCGAACACAATTAACACGTTTTTTTTAAAAATACTGCCTAAATCATATAATGGTCTATTGAAAAATCATATTCTAAATTCTTTTTTATCCTCGTTTGAATGAAAAAATTTTTGATTGGTAATTTTTAATTAATTAAAAAAAAATAAAAAATAAAAAAAAATATTTTTCAGAAAAAACTAAAGATATTTTGGCATTTTTTAAAAAAAGGTTTTGACGCTTTGTAGTTAAGTGGAAAGATGTTGATTGATAGATTTTATGGCTATTATTATTGTTGTTGTTATTGTATTGGTAATACTTGTGGGTGGTGTTCTCATGATAAAAATTATATTAATATAAAAAATATGTATAACCATGGCCAATTTATTCAAATTTTAAATTTTTTTCTCTTATTCTGTTATCATAATAAACCAATGTTGCAAAGCAAAAATAAATTTCTTGAATTGAAATTTGGTACCTTTTGGTGAGAATCATAATTCAAAGAGAAAATGCTTTTTTTTTTTTTTTTTTTTTTTTTAATTATGTGGGAATAAAAAAAATCAAAAAAATATAATCAACAAGATTCAGATTATTAAAATAAAACTAAAATATAAATATTTTTTTTTTTTAATAATAAAATAAAAAAAAAGAGAATTCAATTGGTTTTTTATGTTTAGACCTCATTATATAGTATTACCCGTATATTTATTAAAAATTCCAATTTTATTTATAATATTTCTTTTGATTGATAACCCATATAAAATGATTTTATTTTATTTATATTTGAACACCACAAAATAATTATCACATTAACTGCAATAATCAAATCTTTAGGTTTTTTTTGTATTTTTACATTAATACACTTTTATTTATAAAAAGTTTGTCATTTTAAAATAATAGTTTTTACATCACAGATCAAACCATAGATTTTTAAAATAATTTGTAATTTTTGACAATTAAAAAATATATTTTTTTTTTGATTGTTCGGCAATTTACGCAAATTTAAAAAAAAAAAAAAAAAAAAAAAAAAAAAAAAAAAAAAAAAAAAAAAGATAATTTTGGCCCCGGACCCTTCAAAAAAATACAACTGTCAATATTTTCATTTAAATAACAATGGTTCGTTTTATTTTTATTAGTTTTATTGTGTCCTTTCTTTATTATAATTGGATTTATTTATTTTTTTTATCAACTATATCCAATAGCATTAATTACAAAAAATAATATAAAAAAAATAAAAAAAAAAACGAAAGATACCCACAATTATTTAAAGACGATAAAATCATATTTATTTAATTATATATTTTAATTATTTTTAATTATTTTTAAGTTACCAGTTATTTTTTCAATACAACACACCACACACAAACCATTTTTACATTCTTAAATTTTAGTATTAAATAAAAAAAAAAAAAATAAAAAAACAATTATTAAAATAAGAATTATACATTTTTATAATTTTAATAAATATTTTATTGAATTAATATTAGTAAGATAAAATGATAAAAATATGAATCTATATATTGAATGGTAATATTCAATTTTTTATTTTTTTTAATATTTTTTTTATATTTTTTTTTTTTATTTTTTTTAAAAATTTTTAAATTTTTTTATTTTTTATTTTTTATAATTTTTTTTTTCTCATTGATTTTCAATTATTATTATTCCTAATTTTTCATTAAATTTACATATATATTGTTAAATTAAATCATAATTAGTAATAAAAGGACAATATAAAATAAAAATGAATAGAATTAGCAGAACTATTGTTAATCAAATTTGTAATAGTAATAATAATAGCAGTAGATTATATTCATCAGCAGCATCATCGATCGATAATGAGTTTTTATTCCCATCAGTTAGAAGATTATTAAAGGAATATGGTATCAATAATAGTAAGGATGTTAAAGCTACAGGTCAAAAGAACAGATTATTAAAAGGAGATGTTTTAAAATATATCAATTCAAAGAGTTTAAAACCATTACCAAAAGATAAATTAATACCACCACACTCAGCATCACCATCGACTACTACTACTACTACTACTACTACAGCATCAAAACCAGAACCACAGTTAAATACAATTATAAATAAACAAACTAATCATAAAGTTATATATGAAGATATTCCAAATAATAATGTAAGAAGAGTTATTGCAACCAAATTAACCCAATCAAAACAACAAGTTCCACATTTTTATATGACTGTCGAGTGCGAATTGGATAAAGTTTTAGAGTTAAGAAAAACATTACCTGATAATGTCAAGGTTTCAGTAAACGATTTTGTACTCAGAGCATGCGCTTTGGCTCTTAGAGACAACCCATTAGCAAATGCCAAATGGTCAGATAAAGAAGGTCAAGTCGTTATGAACAATAGTGTCGATATTTCATTCGCTGTTTCCACTGATCGTGGTTTAATTACTCCAATCATTGCAAACACTGATAAAAAACAATTGGGCCAAATTGCTACCGAAGCTAAAGAGTTGGCTGGAAAAGCTAGAGATGGTAAATTAAAACCAGAAGAATTTATTGGTGGTACTTTTAGTGTTTCAAATTTAGGTATGTTTGGAATTTCAACCTTTTCAGCAATTATTAATTACCCACAAGCTGGTATTTTAGCTATTGGCACAGGTAGAAAAGTTATTAGATCAGTTGGTAGCGGTTCACCACCAACTAAATCATCACAATCACCATCACAACCATCAAATAATACAATTACAAACGGACCAATGACTATTGAACAATTGGAAAAAATGCTCGATAACCCATCACCAGCTCCATCTACCACTGCTGCTATTGCTGCAACACCAATCACCACACCAGTTTCAGATGTTCCATATGTACCACCAACTATTGCTAATGTTGTTGATGTTACTCTTTCTGGTGACAACAGAGTTTTCGATGATGAAATTGCTGCCAAATTCTTACAATCATTTAAAAAATATTTATCAAATCCAACTTTAATGATCCTCTAATTAAATAAAAAGATAAATAAATAAAATAATATAAAATAAAAATAATTAAATAAATAGTATTTATATTAAAACAAATTAAAAATATAGCATAGTTATAACAAGAGTTTTAAATCTTTTTATTTTTATTTTATTGTAACCATTCTGTAATATATTTAACCAGTGCAGATGGCAATGATTTATTATTAGATGCACAGTTTTTAATACTATCTAAACTAATTGAAATTTTAATTTTAATAAATTCCCCCAGTTCATTTTTTGATTGGGCCTGAATAATACCTAATGATATTAGTTTTTGAATAATTTGAATAGTTGTGGTTTTTTTTGCTTGATCTGCAGTCTTAAAGTATGATTCAGAGTATCTTTTATACTCTCCATCGTATAAATTGCTAAATGATATATATTCGTCTTGTGAGTTTGGTATTTTTGATAGACAACCCAAAATTGTGTATTCCAAAGGAGTGAGGGTGTATAGCATTGTTGCTATTGGATCGACTTTATTTTTAAAAATTGAAAGTATAATATCACTTGTTATAAATAGATTATTTTCATCGATCAGATCTAAAATATCGAGCTTTAATTAAAAAAATAAATTAGAATAATATGTTTTTTTTTTTTTAGTTTTTTCTTTTTTTAATTTTTATAGTTACAATTAAATTATGATAGTATGGAACACGTGTAAATAGATGATAATAATTTTTGCAAAGTAATGTAGTAACGTTTTTATCTACAAAGGCTGTTGTTAAACTTTTATTCCATTTTTCACCAAATTTATCACCAAACTTTGAGGGTATTGATAATAGACTTATCATAATATTTACAATATTGTTAACTGTAAAAATTAAAATATTAGTATGTATATTTGTAAAACGAAATATAGAAATAATGATACTTACAAGATAGTTTTGGTATTAAAATCATTTCTTGTGTGAATCTAGATTTAATTCTTTTTTCAAATAGATCTAAAATTTCGTGATGTGCAGAGGTACCAATAAATGAAATTGGGGTGCTTTTATAATGGCTTAAATCTAAAATACTATACAAAAGGTTTTGTTTTGCTCCATTCTTTATAATTTCGTCCAATTCATTAATGATAACTATCACCGGAATAACTTTTTGACGTTTTACCACACTTGTGATACCATCATCATTTGTAATAAAACCTAAAGCTTTTTTAATTTCCTCTATTGTATCGAATATTGATTCACCACGTTCAATTTTTATATTTAACGCTTTTGCAATTTCTTTGAATGCCAAATTGTCATTAAAATGTGTTACTGCTGAAAATTCTACTGCTGTATAATCTTCTTTATTATATTTACTTAAACAATATCTAATTAACTAAATTAAATAAATTATAATTAGTATTATAATCAAATAAAACACATAATATAGATATGTGGGGGGGGGCGATTGCTTCATACAATTGATTTACCACATGACCTCGGTCCGCTAACTAAACACGATACACTTTTTTTCTTTATAATTGCATCGTTTAATTTTTCACATATTGTCTTAAATTCAGTCTCGTATCCAATCAAACTGTCAGGTATATACAAGGGGTTTGATATACGGTCCACTATAATTCTTTTGGCTTGGTCTATTATACTTATTTGATTGTTATCCATCCGTTTATAGTTATTTTTATTTTAATTGTTTTTAATTGCAAATTAAAAAAAAATTTTGCGCCTTTCATTGCATTACTTTTTTTTTAAAAAAATTTTAATTTTTAAATTATTTTTTTAAATAAATTTTTTTTTTTTTTTTTTTTTTTTTAATTAAATTTTTTATTTTTTTTGTAAATTTATTTATAAATTATATTTATATAAAACATGCCAAGAGAAATTATAACATTACAGGTGGGCCAATGTGGTAACCAAAGTATGTAAACAATATATTTTATAAATTTATTATTTTTCTAAATTATTAATATGTTATTTTTTTATTATAATAGTCGGGTCAGAATTTTGGAAACAACTTTGTAAAGAACATGGTATTAATCCAGCTGGATATTTAGAAGACTATTCAATACCGGGTATCGATAGAAAAGATGTGTTTTTTTATCAATCAGATGATGATCATTATGTACCAAGAGCACTCTTATTAGATTTGGAACCAAGGGTAATAGAATCAATCAAAACATCAGAGTATGCAAATTTATATAATCAAGAAAACATTTATATATCAGAAAAGGGTACTGGCGCAGGTAACAATTGGGCAAATGGCCATAAACAAGCAGAGTCATTATCGGATGAAATTTTTGATATGATTGATAGAGAGGCTGATGGTAGTGAAAGTTTGGAAGGTTTTTTAATGACACATTCAATTAGTGGTGGTACAGGTAGTGGCATGGGATCATTTATATTAGAGCAACTTAATGATCGTTATCCAAAGAAAATTATACAAACCTATTCAGTATTTCCAGATGATTCATCAGTAGTAGTTCAACAATACAACTCAGTATTAACATTGAAGCGTTTAATAGAGAATGTAGATTCCACTGTAGTATTGGATAACCATGCACTTCATCGTATTGTCGGTGAAAATTTACATATTGACCAGCCAACAATGGACCAAACCAATTCTTTAGTATCAACAGTAATGAGCGCTTCAACTACGACTCTCCGTTATCCAGGCTATATGAATAATGATTTGGTTGGTATGTTGGCATCGTTAATACCAACACCCAAATGCCACTTTTTAATCACCGGTTATACACCACTTACTATCGATAGACAAACCGAATCAGTAAGAAAAACTTCAGTATTGGATGTTATGCGTCGTCTTTTACAACCCCAAAATATTATGGTCTCGGCACCAACCAAAACTGGTAAATATGTAAGTATATTCAATATTATTCAAGGCGATGTTGATCCAACTCAAATTCACAATAGTCTTCAAAGAATACGTGAAAAGAAAATGGCAACTTTCATAGACTGGGGTCCAGCAAGTATCCAGGTCGCTTTAACCAAGAAATCACCATATATCAAAACCAATCATAAAGTTTCAGGTCTAATGATGGCAAATCATACAAGCATTCACCATTTATTTAGCAAAGTTACAAAACAATACGACAAAGTTAGAAAAAGGAATGCTTTCATCGCAAACTATACAAAAGAGTCTGATGATATTTTACAAGAATTTGATATAGCAAGGGCAACTCTTGAGGATTTAGTACAGGAGTATATTGCTGCAGAATCACCTGATTATATAAATTATCACATGGATAAAGAGTTTAATAATAATAATATGAAACAACAACAATATGCAACAGTTTAATAATATAAAATCACAAAAAATAAAAATGAATTTGTATATTTATAAAAAAAAGATATTATGTTTTTAATTTTTATTTACAAAGAAAATAGATTAAAATTTTTTTTTTATTTATATAGTTGAGCAGTAACTACATTGGCTTGGTTATTATTTAAATAATCGAAATGGGAGTGATGTTGAAAGGTTTGATTATTATAGTTATTGTTCCACTGGTGATCGGTACTTGAAAAAATTGGAGTTGGTACAGATGATGAGGATGACAATGGCGAAGTTGATAATGATGGTGAAGGTGATGAAGAGGATGGTGAATTGTTTACCACAATAGTTGTACTGTTTTTCATATTGTTTAGATTGCTTGACAAGTTGTTAAACAAATTGGTTAAGCTTAAATTACTTGTATTAAGATTGAAATGTTTACCGGGTGTAAATGGCTTGTTGCATGGTTTACAAAACCATCTCTTTTGATCGTGCTTATGTGATGGTAGACCATTGCATCTTGTACATTTGTTTTGTAATTTTTTAATTAACTCTGGTGGGAGTTGTTGTTCGGTTTGATCCATTGTTGGTATGGAGGTGTTATTATAGGTGTTGTTGTTATTATTATTATTTCCATTGATGTTACTAAATGCAGATGCTATGGAGTTGGGGAGATTTGGTATTGGTGATGTTGTTTTTTTTCTATCATTATTATCACTAATATTACTATTGTTATGTTGAAGACTTGTTTTACGAACAACTCTATTGTAATTGGGTGTAAAAGGTTTTTTGCATGTTTTACAGAACCATCTTTTTTCTTTATCATGTCTGTGTGATGCAAGCTGATTACAGTTTGGGCATACCGGAATTTGATCAGCTGGGATAGATTTTTTTCTTGATTTCTTTGAAATAATATTTGAAATATCCATTGAAACAACGTTTGAAATATTCATGTTTGGGCTATTATTTATATTATTATTACTAACATTGCTATTTTGATAATAATTATTATTATTATTGATATTATTGCTATTGATATTACTATTTTTAGCTGGTGTATAAAATACTGGTGATGTACAACGAGATGTATCATTATTATTATTAATGTTATTTATTGGGAGTGAAACATAACTTTGTTTAGGGCTGTAGTTCATTAGAGATATAAGTTGTTCTCTAGCAATATCATCATCTTCCACAGTGTTGTTTAATATATCATTTTGTCCTAAATCTGATGAGCATGGTGAAAGATTGTTGCCATTATACTGATTTGATAAAGCATAGTTCAATGAATTTGTTACATCATTTTGCTCAGCAACGAGACCCTGTCCAATTTCTTCATCTTCGGATGGAACTTGTGAATCACAACTATCATTGAAAATATTTTTATAGTTATTTTTATTATTAGGATGACTATGGTTTTGATTTTGATTATAATTATAATTATAATTATGATTATGATTATGATTATGATTATGGTTATGATTATGATTATAATTGTGATATTGATTTTGATTTTGGTTTTGGTTTTGGTTTTGGTTTTGATTTTGATTTTGATTATATGATGTTATAGATGCAGAGGTTGTTTTTTTAGTATTTATTTTTTTATTTTTAAAGTTATTGCTTGTATTTAATAATGAAGAAACTGACATATCTGGTCTATTTTCGTTGGTGTTACTGCCACCATTATTAATATTATTATTGTTATTATTGATATTATTTAAAATAAAATTATTATATAGGTTTGTGGTGGTTGGATTAAACCAATTTGTTTCGTTATTGCCCTCGTTCATTGGTGAGTAATATTTCATTTGTATTATTATTTTTAACTATTTGTATGCAATATTCTTTAGTGTGTGTATGTTTGTGTGAATTTTATTTTTTTTTTTTTTTTTTTTTAAATTTAATTTTTTTAATTTTTTTTTTTTTTTGTTTTTTGGGTGTGGGTGATTTTTTTTTTTAATAAGTATAATATTATAGTTTATTAAATTATAAAAAATTTTTAAGCTTGTTCAAAAAAACAAACCAATATGAGGATATTGTTGGAAAGGGTGAATTAAAAAAAAGTATTTGTTGATAAAAAATAAAAAAATAAAAAATAGTTATTGAGCAATAAAAAATTTTTAGTTTAATTTTTATGATTTATATAATATTTATATGAAGTGAGAAAATAACAAGTTTTAATAATTTTATAAAATAATAAAAATAATAATATTAATTTAACTATTTAATAATATAAGTTAACAGAAGTGAAAACAAATAAAACAAAAAAATAAAATTAAAAAAAAAAACAAAAAAAGGAAAAAAAAATATTAAAAAAAAATTTTAAAAAAATAAACACATGAAACACACAAAAAACAATAAATATATTTAAATAAATATTAATAATAGAAATTATAATTTAACAAATAACCAATAACACACACAATTATTATATATATATATATATATATGTATATATGTGTGTGTGTTTATTATATTTATCTGTGTGTGGAAATTTTTTTTTTTTTAATTTCAAAATTAGAAAAATATGTGTGGGTGTGGTAAGTGGGTGTGTTGTAGGTGAAAGTGTGGGTATGTGGGTGATCAATATGTGTTAAAAAAGAAAGACATACTATTTTTTAGGTAATATTTATACACAATAAATTATACAATTAAATTGGATAGTTAAAAAAAATATAATAATAGTATAATTAAAGCAATTATAAAAATACAGTATAAAAACTAAATTAATATTTGAGGTATATAATAAATAAAGTGTGGGGAGAATATGTGATGATAAAACATAGTTTTTATTATTATTTTATTTTTTTATTTTTTTTTTTAATTTGATATTATTATTTATAGTAATATGTTTTAAATTAATATAAATGTTTTCAATGGGTAAAACCATTTTCTTCATGATCTACAAAGTTTTTAAATAAAATTTTAATAAAATTAATTATATATATAGATTTTTTTTAACTATATTTATCACTTTTAACAATAATATGGTGCAGTTTTTTTATAATAGGAGTTCAGTTGTTAAGGTCAAATTAAAAAGAATTTGGGTTATTTGTGGAGAGGGTGTGAAAATATATTTTTATTGATTTTTATGTAGTTTAGAGGTTACACCAAAACGAGTTTGATGTATATAGACATTTTATTCCATCCTATTACCCAAGTCTTTTAATTATTCCCGATGTGTTGTTTTTTAACCTAAATATGCCCATACAACTGTGCTCAATTTATAATAAAACAGGCATTATAAAAAAAATAATTTTGGTGATTGAAAAGATTTGTTTTTTCATCAATTTTTTGATTATATATTTATTGGTATTGATTTTTTAGTTAATAATATTTTAGTTATAATTAAATATTGAACAATGATATATTATAGTTTTAATATTTATTTTTCTATATTTATTTTAATACTTTGAGAAAAAAAGGTAACCATAGTGCCGTAAGTGTGAGTGTTTGTGTGTTTTTTTTGTGTGTCAGTGTGCTGTGTGTTTTTATTGAAAATTTGTATTCTTTGGTGTGGGTGTGGTATAAATATTATTTTTGATAAAATAATATTTATTTATACAAATTTTATAATTAATAAATGTGCGATAATATATTAAAAAAAAAAATAAAAAAATAAGATATACAAAACGATTTAGTAAAAAATAATGATGTTGTGAGAATTTGATAAAAAAAAGTGTCCACACATTACAAAAATTGTTAACACACAATTTTTATTCATTCACACACAACACATATTTTTTTACCACAAAAATAGACATATTTGGTGAAAATATATTTAAAATTGGTGCCACCACTAAACACAAATACTGCAACTAAAAATATATTAAAATCTATTTATTTTATGAAAATAATAAATTTTTTTTTTTTTTTTTTTAAACATTGGCATTATTTCTTTTATATTTTATTTATATAAATAATTTTTTTTCATTTCGTTTTTATCACAGATATTCATTATTTGAAAAAAAAGTAATATAATCAAAAAGATATTTATAAAAAAAAAACTAAATAAAATTAAAAAAAAAATAAAAAAAAATTTTAAAAATAAAAAAAAATTAAAAAAAAATAAAAAAATTGTATATAATTCTTTGTTTTATCAAAAGAACCAAAGAATTTGGTTCTAAATATATAATAATTTGCACATATTCCATAATAATTTTTACAGCACACAGACTTCAGTTTGTTTTTTTTTTTTATCTGGTTATCATTTTTATGGTTTTGTAGATTGTTTTGGATTGTTCTTTTTTTTTTCTTTTAATTTTATTATTTATATTTTTTTTTTTTTTTTGTTTTGTTTTTGTCATTTTATATAAATTTTATTCAAAACCTTCCATTTTCATAAAATTTTATAAATATAAAGTAGTAAATAATAAATAATTAATAGTTATCACAATAAAATGCAATTAAACAATAATAATCATTTTGATTTTGTATATTATGGTCATCATTCAAACCCACACATTAATAAAATTAAATTAATTTTTGAAGAATTAAAATCGTTAGGTGTAACATGGGATTTCAGAGAAATAAATACAGTTAAACAAGAAAATTATTCAGATGAATTTATAGAGGTAAACATTGATATATTTATAAAAAAAAAAAAGCAAAACTGACAAAATACTAATTTTTACATTTTTTTTTAAAAAAAAAAAAGCAAAACCCAAATAAAAAAATACCAGCATTGGTTGATAATACATTTGAAGAACCATTTTTCATATTCGAATCAGGATCAGTTTTAATTTATTTAAGTCAAAAATACAGCAAATTCTTACCAGATTTCAGAATCAATTCAGGGGTTAATACATGGACAGTGTATCAAGTTGCAAATTTAGGATCTAGCCTTTCTCGTTATACTCCATCTTCAAATGAATTTTCACAAAAGCAGCCACAGCAATTGGATAGCGAAGTAGAAAGAGTATTAAAGTTATTAGACGAAAGATTGGCAGTTAATCAATACATAGGTGGTAAAGATTATTCTATTGCTGATATTGCAACTGCTGGTTGGTTACTCTATTTAAATCATATGCCACTTTTTAATTGCACAAGGGATTCTCACAAAAATATTTTCAAATGGTTAGAGTTAATAAATCAAAGAGAATCAGTCCAAAAAGTTTCAAGTCAAATTAAAGATTCATTAATTAGCTTCAATTTAATCCCAACAATTCGTTCACTTTAATAAATAATATGTAAAGATAATAATAGCAACAACAACAACAATAATAATATAATAATTAATAGTATAATAATTTAAAATATAATACACTTGTAAATAAATATGTAAATAAAATTTAAAATCAAACCTTTTTTTTATTTTTTTTTATTTAAAGTTTAGAAATTGATTTTTTTAAAATTTCATTTGTTACTCTAATTGATGATTGTATGGCCCCTTCCATATGACCATACCATTCGTTAGAAGTTTCAGTTCCAGCCCAATGGATATTGCCAAAAGGTTTGGTATAATCAAAACCATTTTCATAAAGATTTTGATTTGGTGAGCATACTCCAGAAAAACAACCACTTTCATATGAAGCTTGGCTCCAGTTTTTTTCGTTATAATAAACTGGATGCAAAGCTTCTTCACCCCAATATTTAGCGTATTGATTCAAAATTAGACTTTTTCTTTCTTCAAAAGATAATTTACCCCATTTCTCGAATGAATCTTTTCCTACAATAAAACCTACAATTGATTTTAATTGGTTATCGTGTGTACTGTTATCAAATGCTTCTTGAATTGGACCATTAAAAGATATAAGTTTGGCATTATAACCCTTTTCCCTCCAGAATTGGGTCTTGTATACAGCGATTACCTTAATAACTACACCATTTTCAATATTGTTAATATAATTATGCTTCTTGGTGGGTAGTTTTGGTATAAAATTTATTTTTTTTACTTGAAGTGGTGGTGCAGTTACAATAACATTTTTACAATAAAACTTGAAATTCAAATCGGTAGTTACAGTAATAATTTTTTTTGTTTGGTCAATTGATGTTACTTTTTTTTTTAATAAATAGTTTTCTTTTCCTATGATCGAAGCAAGTTTGTGTGAAATTGCTTGGGATCCACCAATTACTCTATCGGATTCTGATGATTGTTCGTTTGAAACAAATGCGCCTTCAAAATTACCAATTGATTTAAAATATTTAATAAAAAATAAAAAACTAATATCTTTCGAGCTGGATGCAAGAACCATCTTAGCGACCCAATCAAAAAATAGTTTTATTTTTTCATTTAAATATTTTTTATTTTTTTCTAGGAATAACCAATCATGTAAAGATATGGAGTCGTATATTTTAAATTCTGGGTTTTTTGAAATGTCAGTATTAAAATTAATAGTACTAGATATTGAATCTACTTGATTAATAAAATACATTAGATTATCAATATCAAAATCTTGGAATTTAAAATCATTTTCATTTATTTTTTTGAAATTTGATGTTTCAGTTTCTAAAATAGTTTTTCCATCATAATATTGTTTGTAAGTTTTTAATCCCAATTCGTTTATTAAATTAAATAAATTTACATTTGATATTCCCAACCATTGACCACCAAAATCAACCCATCCCCCAAATTTTTTTAAATGAACGGTCTCAGTTCTGCCCCCAAGTCTCTATAGTATTATTAAATAAAAAAATTACTATATATCCACCTATATAAATAGATTTTAACAAATTTTATAAAACTATAAAAATATATACATTAGAGGATTCTAAAATCAAAAATGATTGGTTTCCTTTTTTTTTCAATTGAAATGCAGAATTTAAGCCTGACAATCCTCCTCCTATTATTATTGTGTCATATATTTTTCCTGTTTGGAAAATATCTAAATTTTTTTTATTATGTGTTTCCATTTGTTATTTTTAAAATAAATGAATATTTTCAAGTATCCCGTACCTAAATATTTTTTTGTTTTTTTTTTTCTTAAAAAAAATAATTATTTTTTATGTTTTATCTCAAATTTCTGACATTTTTAATAAAATATGGTATTATTTTATTCAAATTGAAAATATATATATAGTTATAAACATCCCCTTTTTCATAGTAAGGACTTTGATTAATTTCTATACTTGTAGTTCAAAAAAATATTATTTTTTAATTAATGGAGATATTTTATTTTAAATAAATTTAAATTAATATAATAAAGGTATAAAACTTATAAAAATTTATTTATAAATCTTTCTAGATAAATATCTTGGGGAATAATAAATTCTTCATTTATTATTTTAGATTTATTTATTTTTTTCGATAACCATAGATATTATTTGACCACAATTTCTACCCCCACATTTTTTTAAATTTATTTTATTTTATTTTATTTTTTTTTTTAAAAAATTTTTCTATTTTTTTCTAATTTTCACATTTTCATTTTTTTTATCTTGAATTAAATTTTATAACAATATATATAATTTTTATAATTTTTATAATTTTTATCAAAATGATCTATTCAACAGAAATGAAACTCAACTCTGCTATGGCCATCCTTGCCTTCGTCGGTGGTTCCATAGGATATGTAAAGTCAAAATCCTTGCCCTCATTAATAGCTGGTTCTGTATTTGGTATTTTATATTCCTCTTCTGCCTATTTTCTTCACAAAAACGAAAATAAACTTGGACTCGGCTTATCTGTTAGTAAGTATTTTCTGTATCTTCAAGATATTTTTATTATCTTGTTGTTTTTAATTGTTTTTTTTTATTTTATTTTTATCTTTAAATTATTTTATTGTTTGGTCGCAATTTGTACTAATTTTTTTTTATATTTATATTAATTTAGTCACTTCAAGTTTATTAGTAGGTTCTATGGGTAAAAAAGCAATTGCTACTCAAAAACCAGTCCCAATTGTTATGAGTAGCTCTGCTTTAGTTGTTGGTCTTATTAATGCCAAGTCACTTTATTCTTTTGTTAAAGAAAACTAAAAATAAAAGAAATATGTATATAAATTATTTTAGAAAAATTACATTGACGTTCTATAAATAATATATGTATTTATTTATTTATAAACCACATGTGACTAAAGAGTGGTATTTGGATAATTGCACAGAGGGATGTAAAAAATATTACTGTTGTTAGATGATTATTTTATTTAAATTTGTTTATTAAAACGATTGTTTGTTCGAGGATATTCATCATGAGTTTTAAGGTCTCTGGTAAATGGAATAAACATGTCAATATCTTCATCATCACTTGAATATTCTGAATCACTACTACTACTACTGCCACTGCTACTACTACTGCTACTACTACTGCTATTACTTGAGTTATTGCTACTACTTTTTTTTGATTTTTTTTCAAAATTGCTATAGCTATCTAAAGTTGGGTTAAAAAGAAAACTATTATTATCACTGACGAAATCGCTATAGTTTGACTTTAAAGTTTCCAAAACCAATTTCAAAGGATTGTAATTCGTTTCTATATCTGATCTTTCTACTTTGATAGCTTTGCTTAAGCTCCAAATATGATGACAGATTAAATGATGATTGGTGACAAATAAATCGAAAGTATATAAAAGACAACCCAACTGGTGAATGCTAAAAGAGTGCTCTACATCACAGCTATTACAATATACCAAAGAATGATAGTCATTGTACACTTCATCTATCAAAAATTTAAGATTAATTGGAAATACTACCGGCCTATTTTTACAATTATCCTTTTTTAATTTCTTTATCTCTAATATTGATTCTGCGCAATAATCTAATTCTGAAACTATATATTTTAATTTTGGTATAATTCTTAATCTTACTTGATCCACAAAGTATGAATCATAACTAAATAAAAAAAATCAATTTTAGCATAATTATATTATTTTGTATATAATTAAAAATAAACAAAATACTTACCTATTATTATTAAAACTATTATCTAAAATAATAAACTCTAAACCAACCAAAACCATGTATTGTGTTGATATTGACGCTAGTAAATCCTTTAAATGGTTATACTTCTTTTTATGAAACAGTAGTTCAAATCTAGAATTGAAAATCAAAGATCTTTGTTGTGAAATATTTGATCTGATATTATGAAAAATTGGATATAATATATCTTTAAAAGTTCCACGATCTATAGATAATTTCTTAATAAAATAATCTGCTGAATAAAATGATGAACAGGTTGAAATATCCTCTGGTATTGATGTTTGATGTGGACAATGAATTAAACTATTGTGGCTCATGCTATTGATGATATTGGTATTATTTTGGCCAATTTGATTTTCTACTTCGGTAATATTTAAGTCGAAATGATAGTTTACTATTTTTTTAAATGCTTTAAGTTCTTTTGCTGCTATTTCAAGAAGGTTCAATTCTAATTCTTTATGGTCATAATACGGTAAAATATATGAAACTGCCATAATTGTAAATACTGCTAGCGAAATATGAAACCATCTTAAAAGGGTAATAATAATTAAAGCATGATCTTCTGTATATTCTGGGAATGTGATAGTTGCATATGAAAGTATAAAGAAATTGCCAAATGATTGAATGGGTTTACCCCTGACAAAGAAATGAATTACAAAGATTAGGAAAAACGTTAATGCAACATAACATAATGCCTTTGTACCATCATGATTGGCTAGTGCAAAGAATACACCAACAGTAAATGCGGAAAAAACACCCAACAAAGTACCAAAGAAACGCATACAGCAAAAGAAACCAGATGCACCGATAGTTGGAGCTGAAACATAAAGAAATGAGATGACATACCAAGATGAATTTCTAAATAATATAAAGTTAGAGTTCTTTGTAATTTCATAGTAACCAATAGATAATATTGAAATAAAAATCGAAAACTTGATTGAAAATCTCCATTTAAATAAAATTCTTTTTAGAACACTCTTTATAAAAAGTACAAATTTCTCTTTGAATGTGAACTGTGGCTCTAGTAAACCCAATGGCTTTTTTTGAAAGAAGGTACCATCTCTTAGTTTCCTATAAAAAACCTTTGTCTGAATCCATGTGTATTTGGGCAAATTTAAAAACCAGTAGCAAATTAAAATAAACATTTCGAAATGGTACAGTTTATGTTGTCTATATAAACTCTTTGAGCATGAATAAATAAGCTCTGAAAGTCTTTTTTGTGATACTGTATATGAGCATAATAAATTTAGAAAAAAATGAATTCTTGAAAGCTCGCATTGTGATTCTTCGTCAAACTCCAGTAAATCTTTTGAAATTTCAATTCTTTGGTACTCGTTGGTTAACTCTTCAATAAGATCATCAACTCTTTCAAAATATTTGATAACTCTAATCTGGCTGTACTCTAATGTCTTTTTATAAACCTCTCTTTCATTGATTTGGTTCTCTTCGTCACCATTGCTGTCATTATCATCCAATATATTTCCATTGCTGCTATTCTTGATATTTAAAAGTCTTTTAAAAATTGATTTGATTTTATTCCTAGTTTTATGGACTCTATAATTACCCATGATCTGATTCTCCATTATAACTGAAACATTGTTGGTCTGGTGAATAATTGTATTTATATAGGGTATCAAAGGTAGTAAAAACTTGCATCTCTCATTTGAAAGATCTTTTTCGATAGAAACCTGCATAGAGTTGATTATATTATGGTTCTTTTCCAAATAGATTGAGATCTCTTTAAAATGGCTAATTAAATCCTTGTTCCAAAACTCGAACCTGCACTCCCTTAAATACCTTGCCAGCATATTTAAATTCAAAGAGTATTTGATATTATATTTGATTAGCATCTCCTTATAGTTATTGATGATTTCATATGAATTATTCTCTATAATATCTTTTTTCTTTCTTAGTGTTGATGGTGTAATATGTGATATGTTTAAATTTAAATCATAGTTATTTCTATTGCTTTTTGTGGTGATGTTGTTGTACTTTCTTCTAAATGATGATCTTAAACTTCTAAAGCAACTAAAATACTTTTTAACCTTTTTCTTGGTCTTGATCGGCAGCTCTTGGTCTCCGTCATCGACAGAGTTAGTGTCACTATTTTTATCTGATACTTGTTGAGCTGTTTGTTCATCTCTAAAAAATGTCGGTATATTTGTAGCTGATTTCGATAATCTGGAATGAATGTCGTTGATAATCTTCTTATGAGATCTTTTTTGTAATGGAGATCTTATTTCGGTCATTGTTTTAATCTCCAATTGTCTACCTAAAGTTTTTGTGCATTGATGGGACCTATGGATAATCTTGACAGTAGTTCTAAGAAATAGCTCAGAGGAAAAGAACGGATTCATAATGAAGCAACCAATAAATACAAACATTGTAGTTAAAATTGAAGCTAAACCAGACTTTAAGAATATTATGGGGCTTCTGCTAGTTGGCTTGATTACATAAATTAATAAAAAATACTCGAAATACATTCTTTTGCTAATGCTCCATGGTAAAAACTTTGAAGATAATAAAAACCCGGTCGTTAAAAATATAAATAGTAGATACACAAAGATGGTAATCCATGTGTGGTCGAAAAATATTACAAATGCTGCATAGGCCACTATATCTCCTATGATACACGATATCATCATTTGAAAGGATGTCATTATTATTACATTGAAAGAGTCGGAAGATGATACAATGGTTGCTGTGAAAAGGGTACTATATATTAATATGTAGGGGTATTCGAAAAAATTTCTTAAAAATGTAAATATCTCCAAAGATAGTGATAAACATATTGTAAAAGAAATAAAACACGAATAAAATATAATTGTTCGATATGATTCCCCAGACTTTCTTTGAAAAATAACCTTTAATAAATATCTTAAAATTAAAAACATATCATGTTAGTTTACTTTTTTTATTTTAATATTGAAATATTGTAATAATGATTCCTACCTCAAGGTTTTCATAGTTATTTTTCTCTATACTATCATTCCTTTTTAAAATTTTATATACAACATTAATTATTATTTTTTTTAATTTTTGTTTTTTTTTAATTTTTTTAATTTTTTTAATTTAAATTAAAACTTTTTTATGGAAAAATGAAAAATATAAAAAAAACCCCCACTTCTGTAGTGGGTAACATTTTTCAATTATTATTACGCTATTTTTGTTGCCATTACTATTATTATTATTATTATTATGTAAAAAACATCTATGATCTCAATCTTTTTACTTTTTCTTTTTTTTCTAAAAATTTTTTGAATAACCAAAAATTGTAGATGAAAAAATTTTTGATTTTTTGAAAAAAAAAAAAAAAATTTTCATTTTTTTTTTTTTTTTAATTTTTTTAATTTTTTTTTTAATTTTTTCTATATTTTATATTTTATATTTTAGTTTGTTTTTTTATAAATTCTTTTTTTAAAAAATTGTTTTATAATAAAATTATATCTTTATAGTAAAAAAAAAGATTTAAATAGTATAAATATATTTATTATACACACAATAATAATATATTAAACTATTTTTGTATAAATATAAATATTAATTATTAACTAATTATGTATTTTTAGTAGAATAGGGAATATAATTATCCAAAATATCTTTATTTTTTTTTCATATATAAATTTGTTTTTTTTTTGCCCATAAAAAATTTTTTTCTTTTTTTTTTTCACTATTTTTTTTATTTTTTTTATTTTTTTTACAATCAATAATACAACATACATAACCAAAAGAATTTTTATTATTCTATTTTTTTTTAATTTTTTTTTTTAAAAAAATATTTGTTAGTTTGTATTTGTGTATTTATTTTTTGTATATAATAATAATAATAATAATAATAATAATAATAAAATAGTAATAAAATAATAATAAAAGTGATATATTTATTATATAAATAATAATAATATAATAGTATAATCATTAAATATTAAAAAAATGGAACAATATGAAGAAAAACTTACTCAACTCATGATGCAAATTAACCAATATCGG